TATTTGTTATTATTATTATTATTATTATTATTATTATTATTATTATTATTATTATTATTATTATTATTATTATTATTATTATTATTATTACCATTGTTATTATTAGCCTATTATTTTAAAATGGGTGGAGTACCACAATCGCCCATAATGTCTCTTTTGGATCCAGCACATAATTATAGAGCTGATGCCACAAAGTTCAAACAATTATCCAAAAGAAAGGAAGGATGGATAGAAGGCGGGAGATGAGAAAGAGAGAAAGAATGGAGACAGATGTATGAGGGAGAAATATTTTTCTATACAAACTATTAATGTTTTTGTTAGTTTTGTCCCATAGTTCAATACTATTAGTAGGAACATTGTCAGTGGCCGTTGTTCGATTCACTGCGTATTTATTCTTGAATCTACCCTCTAATTAATTTGACTTGGTCTGTCGAAGGGGAGCATGCTATGTCATGTTAAAGTGACCAATGGTTAATTAAGCAAGTCTAACTGACAAGTGGTCAAGCTATATATATCTATCTATCTATCTATCTATCTCTCTCTCTCTCTCTCTCTCTCTCTATGTATATATATATATATATATATATATATATATATATATATATAACAAAAATGAGAAATTAATCGCATGTGTACATAGTCAATCTGAACAGTGGTCAAGCTATAAGCTATATTAAATGGTCAATCTGACCAGTGGTCAAGCGACTACAGTCATATTGGCCTCAAACGCAGTTGCTTTCCTTCAACCAAATATTCTCTACTACATTGTAGAGCTAGGGAAACATAATAGAGCTGGGGAACATAGAGCTGACCCCGTCGAGGATGAAATTTACGCTTTTTAATAACTTGACGTACGGGGTTGAAAGTATATCGTCATCCAGTGCCAGATCTGCGACAGACATATCGGCGATCATGGTTCTCCATTCGATCATTCCTTTGCTCTAGTTCTCTTAAAAAGCTACGTTTCCCTGATCTTTCCCCGTTTATCCATTAGTTTAGGTTCCCTAAGTAGGTGGCTTTGGGCCTGCCTCGTTTGCCTTCGATTTTGCCAGTGAGAGCTAGCTCGACGTTCAAGACTCTTATGTCTATTCAGGTGTCCTTAAAACTATCGTTTCTTGATTGCAGTTGACGGTGAGCGTCCCACGTGCGCTTCGTCAAGCACTCCCTCATTTGATTTCTTTTCCTTCCAAGATACGTGTTTTCTTAGCAGTCTCCTAAGAAACCACATTCCTGTTGCTTTTATTTTATTTTCACTCTCTCTTATGATTGTCCAGCATTCACAGCTATATTATATAGAAGGGTTGAGCATACATAGCATTTCAGAACTTTCATTTTGGTAGTCATTGAGATGTTTCTATTTTTCAGGATTGGGCTCACTTTATTGAAACTAGCCTTATATTAGCAATTTTAATTCTCCGTTTTATTTCTGTGGAACATTTGGCATCAGATGTTATAATGTTCTAGATAGATAAACTGTTGGGCTTGTTTTATCTTTTGCTAATAAGAGTACAAAAATAGGATTCCTACTTTTTCGGATATTACCACCAAATCCTATTTGTAATCTCATTAGCTAAGGTTGAAAGGATAACATCACAAAATAAAAGAACAGCAGTATTATGACAATGATAGGGCAAGGCATCTTTTTCGACAGAGGTTCGATCAGTAGAACTACGAGGCCTGTAGGCTAATACAGCACGTATCTATAGCCAAATAATTGAAAATTCTTACCGGCTCATTGACATTCTTTCTTCCGGCGAAACACGAATTTTTGGTAGAAAAGCGAAAATGGAAGCCGCGAAAAGTAAGAATATTAAGCTACATTATTAATTAATATAATATATTAAGCTTTCCTATGGGTTCCTTATTATTGATGGAAGTCCCCCCTTATTGACTTATGGTTGTTGTAATCTAGATTAGATTATTTAGATCCAGACTCGATTTAGATTTTTCTTTCAGGTGAGAGTGAGCTTGGCTCGGGTTTCCACAAAATTAAGTGCCAGGCAATAGGAATAGGTCGCACAGTGAAAACAAGTCTTTAGAAGAGTAAGACACTCCATCTCTCCATGTTTTCAAGTTTCACATAGCCTATACATTCACATTTCATTGCCTTTTTAAGTTAAAAGACCCCTTATTTGACATGGTCAGAAGTTACGAATTTGATGACTAATTTATGGAGCGGGAAAGAAAAGATTGTAGAGATGATGATATGAATGGGATGGGTGGGGCAGGGGTGTGGACGAGCCGACAGTCTGACACAGCAAAACATGCACTTACCCTGCTCCTACTACCTACTACACTACAGGCTACAGGGTAGGTGGTAGGGTGTGTGTAGTCTAGTCAAGTAAAAAGACCCCTTATTTGACATGGTCAAAGGTAATGAATGTAATGACAAATTTTTAGAGAAAGAAAGATTGGGTGAAGATGATGGGTGGGCATGGCAGAGTGTGGACAAACTGACCGTCTAACCAGCAAAATACATGCTGCACACTTACACACACGGTGTGTTTAGTCTAGATCTAGATCTAGATCTAGTCTCTAGGAACCCATGTGAGCACCTTTCAGTCAATCGCTCTCTAGGTGGTTTTCAATTGGTTAAGATCTGATTTCTGTTCCACCCACATGGTAAAAGTTTATTAACCCTCGTCCTGCGGGGGGCCGGGTTTATGTCGCCCGATAAGCTTATTTTGGCACCTCGCCTACGTTCTAGTCCCGCGTCAGTCTGGCCCCTGGCTCAGCGCGCACACTCCGAGCATTATCTCCCGTTCAATTCGGGTCCCGCGTCGGATCCCCATTCACGCAAGTCGAGTGTGTGTGTCAGTCTGCTTGAGTTTGTGTGCGTTTGTGGCCTTCTTCTAGAACCGCCTGCGTTGGTTCGTAACCGAGGCATACGTCTCATTCAAAACACGCCAAGTTGGTAGCTCTAGATATTCGTCCAATGAAATTATAGAACAATTTGACCCACTTAGACATGAGGAGCTTGAAAGGATAGTCAGGAAACGAGACTTCCCTTTTTCTATACAAAATCTTTCAATTGAGCTTGATTTTGTATGAAATTATACTATCTGATAAAAAATAAGCTTGTTTGATAATTTTGAAAACCATTGTGCAGGTACAAAGAACGATTTGAGTGCAAAACATTCGTAAATTGACCTTATCCCCTTTTGAACCCCAGGTCATTCATAACAACAAGAGCATCTAGAAAGGTATTCGAATGGGCGTAACTACTCGTAATGTCTTATCAGCTTGTGAGAGGGGGTTATTCATGTGTGTTTGTAACACTTTATAAATAGAAAGCTATGAAAGATACAACGTTATTTTCATCTTCGATTAACACACTCCCGCAGTATTCATGGCGAAAATACATGTTTCCCGGCGCGCGCTGTACACCAACAGTACACACTGAGTGACCCCGGCGGCCTGCCCAGAACATCTGACGTAATCGGTTGCTGATAAGATTCGCATCTCAGCACAGACGCAGGACAAGAGTTAATTAGCCTAATGGCCTCATTATAATTAAAAGTACATTATGTGTGTGTGATCAAGATCACCCATGAAGTGATCGTCTTATTCGTATCTGATGTCTACTGAAAAATAAAGAAGGATGTTTGTCAGGAACTAACCTAGGAGCCGATGATGCCTCTTGAAATTGGCATAAAATACCTGTCCGCACAAGAACTCCTTCTCTTTTCGTTTTTTTGTTTGCGATTTGTTGCTTTTTGTTTTTTCTGATGACTGGGTTCTTAGGCCAAGACCACAGAGCTAGTTCACTAGTTCATTCATTTTGATTTGCCATAAAAAGTGTTTGACTGTTTGAGGGGCATGTAACAGAATTGCTCTTTCATATTTTAAGGTGCGAGTCAATGCACATCATCTTTACTCTCTCTACTCTTTTTTACCTTCATGAGTCTACTGGCAGTTACAGCTTTGATTTTTTCATTAGTAGTATTATTATTGTCATTATTTTCATATAAGATCTCAAGCTCAATAAATTAAATTTCTTTGATATTTTGAGGGATGGGAATTTTTTTTTTTTTTCTTTTGCTTTCAGAATATTTCTAGTGAAGTATTTTAGTACTAACTGACAATAGATGCTGTGTTTCTCTACTCTAACTGAGTAAATGAGTCCTTTGTCTTCTTCTACTGAGCACTGCATATGTGTTCAAATTTTAGAAGGTTAATTTTTTCGTTTTGTTTCTGTCGTTGAGGTTTTTTATAATCATTTCGGTCTAACCATTATGAGTGCTACATAACTTAAAAAACGATGCCTTACACTCTCTCCTTTCCTGTGCCCGTGAACTTTTCTGAAAACTTCTTTATGAGTAGGGCATCATACCAGGTTCAGACTTGCTGAATGACTTTGTTTATATATTGGTCTAAACTTTTACCCAATGGGATGTCTTTTTTTTTTTTTTCATTTGTCATTGAATGATGCAGAAGGATAGATTTTTTATCTTGTTCTTTGTGTTTATTTCTCCAGCCAGTCGGCAAAGTCAGGTCATTGATGTTGCTAGTCACACATTTATTGTGCCCTACAAGCAGCTGACGTCACCGAATGAGATACCAAAATGGGAAAAATCACAGGTGAGGTATTGAATTATCAGTGTCTCTGCATACTTGTCACTCAGCGGTCTGTGTCACAGAAAGTTAAAAATGTGTTTCAAATCTCAAAATGTCAGTTTTTCCTTTGTTTACATATGTTGGAACAGCTTCTTTATTTATAGCTGGTTTAACTCTTTCACTATGGAGGTCTGTTCATCTTTTAGACAGAGATATTTTGAGAAATAGATCACAAGGAGCAATATATAACGTTTTATGAAATATAATAAAGTAAAGTAAGTGAAGCTGTTACAGGAAAGAAAGTAGACGATAAATTATATAATTTCCTTGTGTTGAACATTTTAGAAATGTCCAATCCGTTGTTTTGAGAGATGTGTGAGGCACGGTGGTGGAATCAGGCTCTCGTCAAAATAATCAAAGTGAAGAAACCGGCATTTACAGGTTGGTGCATTTTTATCAAATTTTTTTTTTCACTCAACACCTTTCATGCCCATTAAAGAACTCATTTCTGTGTGGATTTTTCTGAAAAACGTCGAATAAAGGCACAAAAAATGTAAATTTTCAGTAACCATGGAGTATTAAGCTAAGGAAATAACTAATCTTTGGTGGCCATTTTCTCACTAATTTTACCTCTGAAAACAGGTGACCCCCACCTCCTTCTTTCGCAAATATCTCGACTTGTATTCAAGATAAATGGATATTTTTTCATCCAAATAAACACAAGTGAACAAGCTTTAAGATGATACCAATAACTCTACAAATGCCCAAAAATTAACGAGAGCCTGATTCCACCACGCTGCCTCAATATGTTCTCTGTAAGTGTTTATGTTCTAGATTCATCATGAACTCACTAGGTATGCTACTCTTATGTCCAAAAGATCTACGATCATTATTAGGAGGGTCAATGGGGGACTCTCATGACCCAGAGGTTAAAGTGTTTGCCTCTCATTCAAGGTCGAATCCAGATAGCGACGGAAATGTTTCTTCTCTAAAATTGTCTCCTTTCTCCTCTCTGGAAATTTTCCGTCGGCTGCTTTCTCCATTTTCTGCCCCCACCCCCTCTCATCCTATGCCCCCTCCTCTGGGTTTCTGACTCTATCTGCACCCTTTCTACTTCTACTCCTTTATTCCTTCTTACTGCTGTCTTTCAGCCACACCCCTGATCTTATGGTAGGAGAAAGATCTACACCTAGCCTTCTCGGACAAGGGCGAAAAATCTCGGAGGTCCTGTGTGCAAATTGTGCACATTAAAGATCCCTTGATGGTTCAAAACCGATAAGAGTAGGCTTCGGTCGCCACCCAAGCAAAATTCAAAATTTCCTACGAACCGAAAATGATTAATGTATCCCACGCTGCAGTTGTTAGCAAGGTAAAATACTTATCAAAAAAAAGTGGAGGGTCAATTTTTATTATAATGGCTTGCTCTGGAGTGAGTTTCCATTGTGATAAATCCATTTTCTTCTAATAAGTCAAGAATTAGCATTGGAAGTGATTCTTGTTATTTATTATTATATATATACATGTATAATCAAAGCTAGAAAGAAGTAAACAGTAGAACTGTTGGTTATAAATGTACCGTGAACCAAAACTTAGCGACATTCTTTAATTTCCCTCACAATTTTAAAGCTTAAGGTAGTCCAGTAGACCCTTAAAAGGAAATATTTATTTTGCCCATGAAAATAAAAAATATAGTACTTACTCTTCATTTCACAAAAGTTTTGATTGTAAAGAAGGGCGATACCAGTCCATTTACTTCGATGAAAGAACACCATCCAGCGCATTGTGTAGTGTACCGCCACAGGGCATCATTTTTTGCGTCACACTAAGCAATGCGTCATAGGGAATGGGTTGAACTTGTTCACATTCTTCACCAGCAATGACTACCAATTTAGTCAAATATCTCTGTTCACATTCCTTTGCGCATGATGGAAATCAAAGTAAATTCAGACCACTCTGATACCTTTTCCTCACTATGTATGAAAACAGATATGAGTGATCTTTTGTTGTCTTAGCCAAGTGCGCCATTAAAGAAGTCTTGGAAAGTCAAACCACGTACTTGGCCAGACTAAGCTCTGATGCTGTATTTTTTTCTTGCCGTTTTAGACGAGTTGGATACTAGTTTTGTGTTCTGTTCATCCAATTTTGGTCGGTTAAACAGGAAAGGGTTGATTAAACGTCATGGGTTATAGTTTGTTTAGCCAAGTCTATTACCATGCTTTTATTCTCAGTGTTTCTATTTTTACCTTCTCCAACCTCAAGGCTTACTCCAATCTGGTGGGATTTATCCTGACTCTAAATGAAGCTGTCAAGAACAAGAAAATTCGTGATGAATATCCTGTGTCAGAAGTGAGTATATTGATCAGTGACATTTGAATGAAATGAAGTTAACGCTTCTCAATGAGAAATGTTCAGTCCTATAATGGTATAATTGATTTTAAATTTTAAACATGTAGTTAGCATGTGCAAGGCATTGTCAGTGATACACAGTTTTTTCTTTTACACAAACACACAGAGATTTATTCTGTGTTTGCTCATAGTCATTAAGACTGTAGGCCTACTGTCACCATTCTCTCCTGAAGTGTTGTCTTAGATAGAAGCTGAGTGAAACTGATGAAATTATGTTATTATGTGAGGTAGCGTGGTGAAATCAGGCGCTCTTCAAAATAATAAATAAGAAGAAACTTGCATTTTTCCACCGGTATGGCAATTTTTATCGAAATGTTGTTTTTAACCAAATTTTGGCTGCCATTTTATCGGTAAGGTCACCTCTGAAATCTGAAATCAGGCAATCCCCAGTTCCTTCAATTGCAAATATATCGACCGGTATTCAAGAGAAATGGGTATTTTTTTTTAACGACAACAAGGCAAATGAACAACATTAAGACGATACCAATAACTCATCATACCTAAAAATTGACAAGCATCTGATTCCACCGTGTCGTGACACATATCTCTAAAAAAATCTTCAGTTTGGCATGAGTAATAATATTTATGGTCTATGACCTTTTTTTCACTAAGTTTACATCCTCAGATAGTTTGTTATTTGTGCTATGCATTATTTTCTATTTAATTTGAGAGAGTATGAAACACAAACTTAAAGAGTCTTTTTGTGTTGATTTCACAGGTGGTACAAAATCTTCTAGATCTCCTGGGCACTTTGGAGAAGTGGGTGGAAGAAATTCCTGCCATTGACCAGCCTCAGAGGTTTGGAAACAAAGCATTTCGCACTTGGTTCCAAAAACTGAAAGAGGTTAGCATTTTGCCATGCATGGCTATTGGCTTGATGTTTCACATTCAGGCATATGTGATTGCTTGTTAATGAAAAGAGAGAGCCAGACAGAACAGGAGAGTATATATGTTAAGGGGGCCTATAGTGTGTTTTATGTATGTTTTCGTTTTGTGCTATGTAAGCTAGAAGTGGTGTGTATATATACAGGTGTAGAGCATGATGCATTTATGTGTGAAGCATACTCAACTGTATGTTTAGTCGTATGAAAGGGTCTGTTACATGTGCTTTCCTGGAATGATATAAGGACTGTTGATTTTGTCAAAGATTGTAAGTTTTTTACCAAGTGGCACCAATGTTTTCCGTATGATGAGATTTGTATTTATTTTGTGTGTTATGCTCTTCATTTTGCTTGCTAGCAAGATTCGTACTTTTTAGAATTTTTCGTTGTTTTTTGCAGAGTTCACTCTATCTGTGTCTTCATTATAGAATGTCAAAATTAAAAGGAGCAGTGGTTTGAAAAGTGTGCACAGGAATAGAGTTGTTTTTTTTGCAGTGTTAACATGGTCAACTTAATAGAATTGTTTTTGTTTTTTGTTGTTTGTTGGGGGTATGGGTGGCTGGATATTACCAGTTGTGGTTCCTACTTTTTTTTTCCTTCTGTTGTTTCTCTCTGTCAGACTTACCTTTGTCCTTGCATTAGGTGGCTATTATTGTTACTTTTGTCCTTGCATTAGGTGGCTATTATTGTTACTTTGTCCTTGCATTAGGTGGCTATTATTGTTACTTGTCCTTGCATTAGGTGGCTATTATTGTATTGATGTTCTTCTCTTTTTTCAAACAAAGAAGATCTTTTAAAAAATACTCACTAGAGATTTTGATTTGAGAGAGTTTTTTAAAGACAAAATAATCTTGATTTGTGTATGGTTCCCTCTCATTTCAATGGTTGCTTTATTTATATTTAGGTTCTATTTGTTCATTTATTTATTTGTTTATTTTCCTGTGAAGCCTGCTAATGTTTTTGAGTCGATGGAAGTCTGGAATTGATGATGGCAGAAGCCCCAGACTCAGTTCTGGCCTCATGAGGTTCGCTTGCTGATGAAAAATAGTTGTTGAATATAGTGACTACAGAAATGATATTAGAAGTGTTGTTATCTGGTGGTGATGACTATCACTGTGTCGCCAATTGTGAAAGCAATGGGACAAAAACATTTTTACTTTGTTAACAACTACAAAAATCAACTTATTCTTCAGCACACTTTTCAAATAACCGAATGTCTCGGGTGTATTGTCGGCTGTGTAAGGACTTAAAACTTTTTCCACCATTTTCGTTTACAGGAAGGGCCAGCTCTACTGAAAACCGCCCTCCCCGATGAGTATGAGAAATCCATCCCAGAAATCGTTGTCTATCTGGTGGAGAGTGTTGGCAATGACACCAGGATAGACTACGGCACAGGTGTGGTGGGTGGTTAGACGCCGCGGCTGGCAGGGTTTTATTTTTGCCCTTTTGGTGGTTGGTGTGTGCTTGAGTGTTGTCTGTGGCCTTTACTGCTTGCCAGTGTTGTTATTATCTTTCTCTGTTTGTTGTGTTCTAGTTGTAATGTGGCTTGTTACATGCCTACTATCCAACTTTACTGACAACTTTTGCTGTAATCCTCTGTTTCTACCCCCCCGGGGCGGTGCTACTGACTGAAGTGTCTTTAGGCCATTCCCAAAGGGGGGACATTAACATGTTCTTATGCACAATAGAATTGGAAATGAGCTGATTTATCAGTGTCATGCTCATAACTGTGGTCATTTTTCCTCTACTTTTGTATGTTTATCACACTCTTGTCACCCGCTATTTCCTAGGTGCCTTGATAGTCGAAGCAGACTTTGTACTGTTGAAGCTAGAGAGGTGAGCAGAGTTAAGCCTGATTCCCTGTAAGGACTTCTCTGTTGACATCCACGCCATGGTGCTCATATGACATGCAGTTGCGAGCACCGTAAAACCTCTACTAAAACTAAAAACTAATCCTCTGTTTTTATGCAGAGGAGGCAACTCTGGTTAGAGTTGTGGATGAAGCGTAGGAGAAATTTGTTTGCATGAGATATTGGATTTTTTAAATTCTTTGATGACCGTACTCTGTTGTCTTGCAGACTATTAGTTAGTCAGAGGTGTGACCTTTTTATTAATGCTACTGTGTTGAAAGGGACGTTAGGCTTATACCGGACCAAAATAATGTGACAATTTTTTCATTCTTTTTTTTTCCCAGTGCATTGCCACAACTCTGGCATATAAACAAGTAGATTGAGTTCTTTAACTTTGTCGTATTTATTGTGCTTTGCTTGTAATGGATTGTTGACAGAGGCATGAGCTTGTGTTTTTTCTCTAATGTGTTCATTTAAAAAAAAAATTTTTCTTTATGAAATCCAATATGTCTGGAACATGCTTTAATTGACAGTTGAGTACAGGAAGGGTTTGAGAAATTGCAAATGTTTTTTAGAAGTAAAGGAGCAGAATTGATTCATTGTTTCTTTTATGTGGCCCTGTCGTTGTCATATTATGAAATTTCAGCAAGATTGTTAAATTTTATGGTGATGCTTAACCCTATCCGTACGCCCTGGGGTCATTTTGTACCCTCGGGGTTGTATTCTTCCCATTTTAGAATACTTCTAGAGTGAAGATCTCTTAAAAACTTTCAGTATTTGTCAAAAACTCATTTTGACAGACTGCTATGCAAAGCGTACGGATCAGATTAACAAGTAAATTTCCTCTTTGGAAAGTTGTGGCACAGAGTTCCCCACGTCGTATGGGTACAATACTAAAACATGACGTACGGATAGGGTTAATAGAGTCGCACAGACGAATAAGGTTTTTTCTGCCAATTAGTTTAAGTTTTGTCCAACACCATCGGGGTTTTTTTTTTTTTTTTTTTTTTTTTTTTTTTTTTGGGGGGGGGGGGTTTTTTTTTTTTTTTTTTTTTTTTTTTTTGGGGGGGGGGGGGATTTCATATTTTGGCTTTGTCTATGCCTCCTCTACTTTCGCTTGAGGTAAGATTGTGCTGACTAGGGTTCTGTGTGTCTTGTGTTGCAGGCCATGAACTGTCTTTTGTTGCTTTCCTGTGCTGCCTGTGTCAGATTGGGGCTCTCAAGGAGGAGGATCACCCAGCCCTCGTTCTACGAGTATTTGAGAGGTCAGTCGTCTCCACTGTAAATGCTAGACTTCTGGCTCAGTCCCTCTCAATTTTGTTGCAAAGGATACCTTTCCTCCCTTCACCCATTTTGTGTCTAGACACATATGCCCCTTTCCCCATTTGACCAGGTGTCTTTGTTTTACCTTTTTACACCTTTATAATTCAAAGTTTGGTGTGGAAGAAAAACAGAATGGTTTCATGCCATGGCCAATATTGAATGCTGGAAAAGTGCTTGTAGAATTTAAGGTGTCTCCAGTATGAATCAGTATTGACAATCCTTAAGTGTGAAGGTGTAGTAATCCTTAATGAAATATCCTAACTATTTCAGAATACTTTCTAGAGGATATTTTTAGCAGAAAATGAGGGCCCAAACATACCTCTATTGCCAGTGAAATTTGGCACTCTTATAAGTCATTGGACCATCTAGCCAGTAGAGAAGTGTCTGATATGTCTTTCTGTTCTGAGTATGTTAATTATGTTTGTAAAGGAATTACAGAGACTTTAATAACTCTATTTTTGGGCTTCAGAAGAGAAAATTCTTTTACGCATGATTTAATTCATTTTATTTCTTCATAAATGTTTATTTGTGCAGAGTTTAAAGAGTTGCCCATTGAATAAGAACACAAATAATATGTCAGTTCATGGAATCATGTATCCATCAGGCAGGCTCCTCCCTTTACCAGTGTTTGTGTTTCCCTCAATCCCCCCTCCCCCCCGGTTGATTTCCTCTTCCATCCCTTCTCATTTTCTCCCTCAGGTACCTGTATCTGATGCGAAAGCTCCAGCTCACCTACAGAATGGAGCCAGCCGGAAGCCATGGCGTCTGGAGCCTGGATGACTACCAGTTCCTTCCTTTCCTCTGGGGCAGCTCACAGTTCATAGGTATTGCGCAGATTTCAACATAAGTTTCACATTTTTCTGACGATATAAATCGTGTGGCATAAAAACATAGCCATGTACAGGTTGGTTTGGAAAAAGGGTTTTTCTGGTTGGTCAGAGAAGGTCATAAAGTAATGGAATGTTGAGTAGAATCTTCCTTAGAAGTATTTTCCTGATATTTAGCTCTAAATATTTTTGTTTATCTATTAACACATTACACCCTAAGGGCCTGGACGGGAAGTCCATTGTTAGATCCTAAGCAAGGGGAAAGAACCCACCTCCCGTGAATACATGCCTTTAAAAAACACATTTTTAAAATACTAAACAAATTCCAAAAATCCTGAAAAAAGAAAAGTTAAAAAGAAAACTGAATGTAGTTTCAGAAAAATATAACTTTATGTATGCGCAAACTGTTGGAAATGTTCTAACTTTATTTCAATCGGGGTGTCCGACCAGTCACTCTCACTCTCAGCCTCGCGGTCGGGCCCTAGATCTAAATTCTAGATTTTCTCCGTCTGATCAATCGGAATCGCCCCAAACTCTTCCTACAACGTTTTCATCAAAATCTGAGCCATCTGATTTGTCACATGCTCGTTTTTGCTCAAATCCATCGTTATTTCCGTTTTCGAACTCAATCGTGTCGCTTTTCAACAAGTCGAGACACTTTCGAAGTGTCGGTAACGCGATCGCACTTCGATCAGCTCTAATACTAAAACTACTAGCCCGAAAAATTTCGTTTCGGTATCAAACGAAAGAAGAAACTTTTTGCTATACTATGCAAATCAAAATCCCGGTCCCAGAGTCTCGTCAAGGCGAGACTTTCGTTTCTAAAGACACTGGGTCGGCGCGGGCGGTTCCGGGCGAGTCAGGGTGGAGCGCGTAAGGGAATTCCCGGGCGAGTTAGGGTGTAATGTGTTAATATAGAGTGCTAAATGGTGTTGCAAAAAGAAATAATCTAAAAAAAACAGAATTGCCTGTCTCATTTTCTAATATGTGAGCAAGGCTGCAGAACTCACAGCATTTCGTCAACTCTTGTGCACCTTCTGAGTATGGAGAGGGGAGAGGAGCATTTGTCACAAGACTAGCAACAAATGCCAAAGTCTTAAGAACCCTTGAAGTTATTTGTCAAAATAAGGAAAAGTACATTTCTCAAATATTTGTTTTTAGTTGTATGCCATGAACTGTTTTGTCTGTATACCTCTTGTCACCTCAGAACTATTTTGTTAAAAGTGTGCTTAAGTAAAGAGGTACTTTGGACAAAATAGTTCTGAGGCGACAATCTGTATGTATGGTGTTTCTACTCCTAGAATGCCTGCAAATCCCAGACACTCTGTCACAGAAATTGTTCAGTTACACATTATCACTTACCATTGTTTACTGCAAAGGGATGCTCATACAGCTTCTGAGTTGCCAGAATTGTTGTTTTCTCTCTTTTTAAAGTCTATAAAGGCTACATATTCAAATGTTAGATAATTACTGTCTCTGTCAATGTTCCTGTAAGTGCAGTTTTTGCTTCCTCTGAGGGTATTTTACTCTACCGTAGGCGTCTTGTTCCTCAGATCACAAGAGAATCAAACCCAAGTCTTTTCCGGAACCAGACATTTATGACAGCTTCTACAAGGACTACCTTTTCTTGAGTGCTATTAAATTCATAAACCAGGTAAAAAAAATGAACATGATATTATTATATAGTGGAGTTGAGTGCGGGGTTAAACCATAATATAAGGACTACCTTTCTTGATTCCTATTAAATTCATAAACCAGGAGAAAAACTTTTACCTATTGTAACCACTATGTGAAGTAGTTAGGTATGAATGATCTGACACTTTTTTAGAACTCAACGTCCACTATGACCCTGTTCTGAAATTTACCCTCTCCCCTTAACTCACTCACTGCCATACCCGAACCCTGTCGGGTGATCCGCGTAGACCGCTGCCTGCCAAACCCGAAACCCGTCGGGTGCGTTTTTACTACTATTTTTCAAACATTCCCCGACGTGTTTCGGGCTTGGCAGTCAGAAGTAGGCGACATAAGCCAGTTTAGTTTCGATTCCGCATTGTTGCAGTAACTTCCCTTGAATAAGCTACTTAAAAATCTGACTTTTTCGAACTCATCCGAAACGAATTAAAAACTACTGACGCTCAATTACGATGGCGACGGCGTCTCAACGAGGTCTGAAAATTTGAATTGAGGGACCCATTCATCAATAAAGGATCAGATTTAGATCTTTTTGCAGATAGTGATGATGAACCATCATTCAGAGTTGATAATGAGTATAGGAGAGGTGCGGACACAAGTGAAGATGAAAATTGTGCTAGATCTAGGCCTAGATCTAAAATCGGGTGTTCCCCATGCTCAGACCTATGATCCGATGCTTCCCTGTCCCAGTTCAGGCCCGTCACGCAAACGTCAAAGATCACACAACGTAGATTTAGACCCCAAATGATAGGAATACAACTGACATAGACCCTCCTATGTCTACACAACTAACTTCAAATAGTGGCACCCCTCTCCCAGTGGCCATGCCCTGTCCTGCAACCACACACCCTGATGTTGATGCTCAGGATGGGTGGACTGATGACTTAAATGATATTCCAGTAATATAAAATATGTCAGATATCTTTTCAAAGTGACTCTTCAACATTTGTCAGTTGATACAACATCTATTTCTTGCAGAGATAAAGATATAAAGACATGCATATCGACTGAATGTACCAAGCACCTAAATGTTATGTAAAAGTTTTTTTGCTCGATTTTGCCACATATTCACAAACTCATAAAATTTCACTCGGTAAAGGTATCACAAATTTCTTTTTTGATTTGTTGAGTATGTTTCAATATCATTGTTTGTGGAAAAGTTCAATGCTGTACACAAAATAATAAGCTCACAGTGAGGTTTTGAAAATGGTCCCGAAAGCCTGGCATTCCTTAGTTATCCTGCCGAGAAATGCCTGGCAGTGAGTGAGTTAAGCGCAGAGGGGTTGGCTACTAATCATGTACAAACTTAAACAACATTTTTTTAAAGATTGTCTGCAAAAGCAATCACACATAATACAAATATCCTATAAACCGCGAAATATAGTTTGAAAATTAGTTTTAATTTAAATGGCAGTCACTGTTTCTGAGCCTGTCCGGATGTTTTGGTTGGTCATGGATGGTCCACAGGTCATCGTCTTTTTTTCGTCCTCGCAGTCTGACTCTACGATGAGATCCTACTCTGAGACGTCATCAATATCCAATTTCTCCCTCTGACCAGGCAGTTATTTGCCCCTTGTTCATTTGATTCTCCTCTTTATTATATATTAATAACCATAGTGAAGTAGATTGCCATGACTGAAAAGATCTGTAAGTGGGTGAATGGCGGTTGCTCTGGTGTGGTTTGCTCCTTTTTTTCCTGTCAAACACTTATTGTCTTTATCTCTCCTCCTTCTTTCTTTCTTTTGTTTTTCACTTTCTTGTAACTCCTCTAGTCTTTAACACTTTTGTGACCTTATTGTGTTGCAAGTGTCATAAAACTCCCAGTAAAACTAATCAAATAAAGATCTGTAATACCAAGATTCAAGCTCAGCTCGGGGAGAGGTAAAAATAGGACTTTACATTATTTTCCCGCTAAGGCTGTGCTAAACTATAAGTGTTTGTCGTCTCCCCCCCCCCCTGTTCAGGTGAAGACTGGCCCGTTTGCAGAGCACTCGAATCAACTGTGGGGCATCAGTGGGGTGGCTGCCTGGTCCAAGGTCAACTCGGGTTTGATCAAGATGTACAGAGTGGAGGTGAGTGTGATATCAGCAGTCAAATTTGGCCAACTTTGACCGGGCTGTCAGGGTGGTTCTGAGGTCAGAGGTCAAATTCCCATCAGATCAGAACATGATATAGTGAAGTCGAGTCCGAGGTTATACGGTGTATAAGCACTACCTTTTCTTGAGTGCTATTAAATTCATACACTAGGTGAAAAACTTTGATCCATAACGACAATTGTGTGAAGTAGCTCAGTATGAATGTTCTGACATTTTCTATGACTTCTATACCAACAAAGACTCTTTTCTGAAAATTACCCTGTCCCCATGAGAGCAGAGGTGTAATCCTTTACAAACTTAAAACATGTTTGAAGATAGTATTGGTCTTCCAAAGTGGGTCTGATGATAAAATGGCCAGTCAATTGTAGTGATGCAGCACAATGATAGACACATTTTACCAGCAGTGAAAAGCTGTCCATATCATGTCGTGGTCTACCAAAGTGGGTCTGATTATAATATGGCCAGTCAATTATAGTGAGGTGGCACAAAGACAGACACATTTTGCCAGCAGTGAAAAGGTGTCCATATCTTTATTGCTGACTGTCAGTTTCAGAGTCAGTCTTGTCAGTGGGAAAGCTGGGATTTGTTCTGTGTCTTTGCAGCGTCTGAAATGGGTACAGGTTTGTTTTCTTTGTTTCAAATGCATTGTTTTCCTTGAACCAAAAGTACTGTATTACCTGGATAGGTCGAACACAGAAGACTCTAAATCATGCATCAGTCGAACTGTGCCTGCGGTCCAGGTTTTTTTTTCCTTTTTATCTTTGTAAGATATCCAAGCTAGGGATCCCTTGAACTACAAAAGCTAGTCCCATTGTATTCAAGCTGTCCGTGTTATACTGTATTATATCACAGTTGTTCTCTTTCTTCGGGTGTCAGGTCAAGAGCAAACATTGACGATCATGGTACCCCATTCTTTCCTGTTGTCGGTCTTTTTGATCAGCTCAATTTTTCTCTTTGTGTTATTCTTTGCAAACTTGTTCAGGCCATCTGTGTATGTTGTTCTTTGTCTTCCTCTGCTCTTCTTTTTCTCTATCTTTCTACGCAGCAGCAGTTTCTCTAGTCCATTTGGTCTATTTATGTGGCCAAAGAATCTCAGTTGTCTTTTTCTGATAGTTCTGATTATAGATTTTCACAACCTGCCATTTGGAGCACTTCTCTATTTATCACAGTTCGTTTAATATTATAACTTTTCGTCCTCAGGTGCTGAGTAAGTTTCCCATCATTCAGCACTTCCTGTTCGGCAGTCTTCTCACACTTGAGCCGTCCACCGATCCAGTCCCAGCGGTGTCCGCCCCAATGCCCTCCCCTGCCCCGGGTGCCATGCCGGGGAGAATGCCCCCTCTTGGTGCCACAGATATGATGCCCCCGACAGGCAGAATGCCCCCTTCAGGTATGACGAGCATGATGCCCCCAATGGGAAGAATGCCCCCTCCTGGTGTGACTGGAACGATGCCCCCAACAGGAAGAATGCCCCCACCTGGTGTGACCGGAACGATGCCCCCAACAGGAAGAATGCCCCCTCCTGGCGCGGCAGGTGTGATGCCCCCGACGGGGAAAATGTCCCCTTCATCGCAATCGCAGCAACGCCCGCCTTCGTCATGATGTTGATATGTCTGTAGGTTGTGCCTCTTAGTGTTGTATGTACATACAAGAAAGAATGTGACATGTGCAAGTGTCGTGTGATGTTTGGAAAAGGTTTGCTTCTGAGCGATTCATCATTGGTGATAGTCATTTTGCCTCTATACCGGTACTGCCGTTTATCACTCGAATCTATCGGTAACATGCTTGCCAACCTTCCTGAATTTTTCGGGAAATTCCTGAATTGCCATCGTTGTTCCCGAACCTTTCCCGAGACCGCATCTCTGTCT